TCTAAATCTGCTGTCTGCTAGCTTGTGGCCATTATTTCTTGTAACCCCCGGGGGGCGCCTTGGTGAATAAATACTCACCAATTCCCTTCTGTGCCCCCGTGATGAACTTATAGGCAGCCACAAGGTCGCCTCTCAACCTTCTCTTGCGGAGGCTGAATAGATCCAGTTTCTCTAGTCTCTCCTCGTAAGGCTTGGTCTGTAGGCCCTTAACCATACGAGTGGCCCTTCTCTGGACTCTCTCCAGGTTATCCGCATCCCTCTTGAAGTGCGGCGCCCAGAATTGCACGCAGTACTCCAACTGCGGTCTGACCAGCGCCCGATAGAGGGGAAGTATCACCTCCTTGGACCTATTTGTCATGCATCTGTTGATGCACGATAAAGTGCCACTGGCTTTTTTGATGGCTTCGTCACACTGCTGACTCATGTTCATCTTGGAGTCCACTAGGACTCCAAGATCCCTTTCCACTTCCGTGCCACCCAGCAGGTCATTCCCTAGGCGGTAGGTGTGCTGGACATTTTTCCTCCCTAGGTGCAGTACTTTGCATTTCTCCTTGTTGAACTGCATTCTGTTGTTTTGTGCCCACTTGTCCAACCTGTCCAGATCTGCTTGCAGCTGTTCCCTGCCCTCCGGCATGTCCACTTCTCCCCAGAGCTTTGTGTCATCTGCAAACTTGGACAGAGTACATTTCACTCCCTCGTCCAAGTCACTGATGAAGACATTAAAGAGTATCGGTCCAAGGACCGAACCCTGTGGGACCCCACTTCCCACACCCTTCCAGACCACACTCCTGGAATAAATGTTGACCTTGTAGCCTTTTCTCACCTCCCATCCCAGTAACCTCCCCCTTTGTCTAAATAAATATAAATATACAAGTATTTGCAGATACAAGATAGATGTATACATGCTACTTATAAACTGAGTATAGATTACTGAAACAGAGATTTAAACTCGAAGTGTTAGGCTACAAAGTCTCTCTTTAGTCTAATGAACATGTAATAACTTCATCTAAAGTGGACCACTTGCAGTAGGAGGTGTACTGAGAGAGAGGGTCAGCCGAGAATAGCTGATAACATGGTGGTTGAGGCACTTTCTCTTGGGATGTCGGAGACAGATGTTCAGTCAGATAGAAGAGGAATGATTTGAACCCAGGACTCCCACGTCCAAGAGGAGGTCTACAAACCACTGGGGGATTTGGCTGTTCTAGGATGGGAGTTCTCTTGGGTGTGAATCTTAAACATTTAAACTGGCTGAAAAGATGCAGTTCTATAGCATTTTCAACCAAATCCCAACATTTTTTCCCCAACCCTAGCAGAGGTTCCACCTGAAATTAACCCCTGTATGATGGGCTTTTGCAGCTGGGAAAGAGCGTATGGCTTTACAGTGCAATCTGCAGTAGGTTACTGCCAGGATCTACCAGTAGATCTGAAGGGTTTGTCCTTTACCTTTCACCCCAGTAGACAGTTACCATTGTAATGCCAATGAACAGGGGAAATATAAGAAGCTCTCCCAGGGAGAGTTGTGAATGTTAAGAGTGTCGCAAAATAGCCATGCTTGAGCAAATGATGATTAATAGACCTACTCGGACCAACAAACAACTATTCTGTGGACCCTCTGCAGGGTTACAGTGGCTTCTGCAGGGCCAGCTGGACCAAATACGAGTCAAAATGTGAAAGGAATTGTAGCCATTTGGTGACGGAATTAGCAAGAATGAAAACTGCAGCTCTACCAGTCCAGGACATATATTTTTTTTCAGTGGATGATGTTTTAAATTCCTGTACTTTCTCCAGCAGGAAATCTATACATTTGACAATGTTAGGAAATCTGCAAAAGTGATGTATTGGTTAAGTGAGGGAGCAATCATCTTCTGCAATAAAGTATATACAATCTTTCTCCAGGCACCCACTGAAAGAGTGAATTTCTTTTAATGTACATCCACAAATTAATATTACAGACCTGCATACCCTAGCATTATCTGCTGCTGTTTCCACAGCATTCAGGTAATTTTTGTTAATAGGTAGAAAGTGATACTAGCCTATGCAGCAGAGGTTAAGCTCCTGGAGAACACAATTTCAAACTCTATGTATATACAGCTAGGTTTTGATGTTCCTATTCAGGCTGAATAATACTCCATTGCACAAACAACCCCACTGGGACAAGTGGAGATTACTGGGAGAGTAAGGTGTTTTTCAATGTGATGATAATACCTGAATTTTGCCTATAGCTGACAGACTGTCTATAGTAAGAAGCAATAAAGAGTACCTAAAAAAAAAAGGGTTAAATCCTGTGCCTAATCAATTTAAAAGGCTAAATTTCTTTTGAATTACCATGTGCACATAACACTCATTACACTGTCATCTTAAGCTCATCACAGGGAAGCTGGGAGAGGAGATGACACAAGTGTTTTGATCAGTCAGCTGAGAACGGGAGCTTTTCTGTGATGTGTTTTGCATTACATTTACATTACACAAACAGTTGCACTAACTGCAAATGCTCAGAGTGATGCTACGCATGTAAAGTTTGGCCCGGTCAAATTAAATATCATTAACTCGCCCAATTGAGCAGATTACTTTAAAACAATTTGTACAGCTGTAAAATTAAGTCCAACATAATGTTTTCTGTGGAAACAGGAAATGCTGATTATGTGCCTGGTTTTAGTATTTGCTGTAAATTTAAATGCTGCAAATTTTACTGTGTAAGGTCTAAAATTGTGGGTGTGTTAAATCTGTGTACAATGAAGGCGAATAAGCAATCAAAATTTAAGAAAAAGTTATCTTGTGGCTGACGTGGTTATAGAGCTGTGCTGAAATCCCCATAGGCACACTTTCAGATGATCCGTTTTCCACAAGTTAATTCCATAAATTTAGTAAAACGTTATGACTAATGCCAGTAAGATTAGTCATCCTGTGACCAATGTCTTTCCCAGTAACATAGCTAATTCTTTTTTGTTAAACATCTAGGGCGCTGACAGTCATGAACGCCCCCCTCCAGCACCCCCCCCCCCCCCCTGTCCCCCCCCCCCCCCCCCCCCCCCCCCCCAGTGCTTTACTGGAAGAGGAAGCGCATTAGTTCGACTTGGATCCCCGGCATTTGTATAGATCGGGCACTTCAGCAGGGCTTTTTTTGTGCTTCGATCTAATGATTCAATTGGCTATTAGATAAAAGTGCCAATAACCCCGCTGATGCACCCGATCTATATAGGTATTGGGTAAGCTGGGTCAAACTAACGCAGTGCCTCTTATGGGCGTGGGCTGTGCTTGGTGCGGGGGCACGCCAAACTGAAAGTAAAGCACCGGGTTTTTTTTCCATGTCTGTAAGCAGTCATATTCAAGTGGCCTGCATATTCATGACCAAGTGCATCAGAACGTTTCAACAAAGCATGGGATTGCTCTTCTTGCCTGAATCCTAACTTGTTGTGCTCTCACAATGACTTCCTATGGCACTAACTTCAAAATTGCAAAGTTTAATAACATCAGGTGAGGAACAGTAGATGACAACCTTAAAAAAGACAACTTTTTTTTACTCTAGTAGTACAGCAGAACACTAAAGTGAACATCTTGCTAAGATTTCTATAGGCTGACAAGATGCAGAAGTAAGCTGTAAGAGAGGTTGCATCATAGACCAATCAGGCTAAGTACAGACAGTCAAAAAGCCCGAGGCTGAATCGATTCAGTCTTCGCAGGTTAGTCTAAACTGCGTAGATTGAATTACTAAGCAAGTGAAATGCAAGTGAACCTTTGATTCCAGAAATGCAGCCGCATGCCTGCAGTGGCCCAGGCCAGAAGCTGCCTTTCTGCTCAGCTGGAGCAGACAGCTTGGGCCAAAGCTAGTCTTCCCATCCTGCAGGGATGGGGAGAGGGGGTTGTGAGGGAGGTGCAAAGCATCCTGGGATGCTGGGGGCTGTGAGTTTAACTTGAATCTAGAGGGGATCTGGGACAAAAGTTCAAGAAACCAATTTAACCTAAATCAGTTAAGTCTGATGCTACATCAATCCAGGTTTATCTTCAATCGGTTTCAGCCATTTTGAAAGCAATTTAAGTGCATTGAACTTCTGTTGTGTTACAGATTTGAACCAGTTTCTGATCACTTATATCAGTGTATG